TCGCAAACCAAAAGGCATACGTAGGAACTCAAACAGACCGTAAGGAGTCTTGACAGCAGTCTTTTCGACATCTTCAGTGGCAACTGGGATCTGATGACAAGCTCGTACCAAATCGATCTTAGAGAAAATAGTCGTTCCACGAAGTGAAGCCGTAATGTCATGTATATACGGGATGGGATCACTACCAAAACGAGTCTCTGTGTTAAGTGACCGATTGTCGCCACATGGTCGCCAGGTAATACCGTCTGTTTTAAGAACCATCTGTAGAGGAGAGGCCCATGGACTATGAGAAGGACGTACGATACCTTTTAAAAGTAACGTGTCGAACTCACTCTTAGCAAAAGCTAATTTGTTCAGTGCCAGTCGGCGAGGTCGTTGCCGTGACTGGTGGACCCTTAGTGACTATGTAGTGTGCAACACGATCAGTCACTACTGTTAAGTCCTCAATAGGTTTAGTCAACATGGGGAGTGACTGGTGGACCCTTAGTGACTATGTATTGTGCAACACGATAAGTCACTGGTGTTAAGCCCTTAATAGGTTTAGCCAACGTGGGGAATTGGGCGATCAATGTCTGGAAATCCACAGGGATATCAGGCATTAAACCCGTGATTCTGTAAATGTCTGTTCGGGCTTTGAGACCAGTGGCTTTCATATTCGATGCTGGGTTGATCAACCGCAGTCTACGTAAGTCGACAAGCACTTCATAGTACTGCAAAAAAGTCAATACCCAGTATTCCAGTGGGAACATTCGCAAGAACGAACGTCCATGGATACCGTTGTTGCCCTCCCAGGTTGACCGTGAGTTGTCTTGTTCCAAAGGTAGGAATGGGAGTGCCATTCGNCGCCAGCTAATGCTGTTCTTTAAAAGAACCGTGCGTAGAGGAGAGGTTCATGGACTATGAGAGGCATGTACGATACCTTTTGAAATAAACGTATCGAACTCACGCCTAGCAAAAGCTAATTTGTCCGGTACCAGTCGGTGAGATTGTGCCGTGACTGATGGACCCTTAGTGACTATGTAATGTGCACAACGATCAGTTACTAGTGTTAGACCCTCAATAGGTTTAGTCAACGTGGGGAATCGGGCGAT